TAAGAAAATCTATGAGAGCTATCAGATAATCATAAGCAAATAAACATTCAAATCATGGGGATTCCAGAAAGGGAGGAAAAGAAAAGGCAATGAAAACCTTTGCGATGAAATAACAGCAGAAAACTTCAAAAGTATTGGAAAGATATGAACTTACTAATACAAGAGGCTCAAAGAACCCCAAACAGATTCAATCCAAAAGTCAAAAGTCTAAGAAAAGAGAGAATTCTAAAAGCAGCAAGAAAAAAGTGTCAAGTCACATATACAGGAGCCCCCATCAGACTAACAGCAAGATTTCTCAGCTGAAACCTTATAGGCCAGAAAAGAATGGGATAATGCATTCAAAGTGCTAAAAGAAAAAAACTGCTAGCCAAGAATACTATACCAAGCAGGGCTATCCTTCAGAAATGAAGGAGAAATAGTGTCCTTCTCAGACAAACAAAAACTGTGGAAGTTCACCACTACATGACCAGTCCTACAAGAAATCCTCAAGGGAGTCCCGCATCTGGAATCCAAAAAACAAAAATTATCAACACCATGTATATACAAGATAGAACAAAACCCACTGGTAGAACAGATATGCAATTGAGAAGGAGATACAAACTACATCTTACCGCCTCAAAAAAACAACGAACACCAAAGACAAACATAAAAGGGGAAGAAAGGAACAAGAGACATTTAAAACAACCACACAAAAATTAATAAAATGCCATGAATAAGATAATACCTTTCAATAACAACCCTAAAAGTAAATGGATTGAATCCCCAACTCAAAAGACATAGAACTGAATAGATTAAAAATCAAAACCCAACTATATGCTGTCTACAACACATTCACCTCACCTGTCAGTACTCAAACAAACTAATAGTAAAGGGATGTAAAAAGATATACCATGCAGGGCCGGCCCGGTGGCGCACTGCTACAGTGCGCCGCTTGGGAGCACGGTGGCGCTGCCGCCGAGGGTTCGGATCCCACATACAGACCAGCCGCTCACTGGCTGAGCGAGGTGCGGGCGCAACACCGAGGGTTGCGATCCCGTTGCTGGTCCCGGTCTGGTACGGGTGCGACACTGAGGGTTACGATCCGTTGCCGGTCACGAAAAAAGACAAAAAGGAAAAAAAAAAAAAGATATACCATGCATATGTAAACTAAACACGAGCATGAGTAGCCATTCTCATATCATATAAAATAGACTTTAAACCAAAAACTATAAAAAAAGACAAAGAAGGTCATTATATAATGATAAAGGGATCTATTTCCCAAGAGGACATAACAATCATAAATATATATGCACCTAACATCATAAAACTCAGATATATAAGGCAAACACTATTAGAAATAAAGAAAGAGACCCCAATACAATAATAGTTGAGGACCTGAATACCCCTCTCTCAACAATGGGCAGATCATCTAGGCGACAAATCAACAGAGAAACACAGGATTTATACTACACTTTAGACCAATTGGACTTGGCAGACATCTATGCAACATTTCATCCAATAACTACAGAAAAAACATTCTTCTCATTAGCACATGGAACATTCTCCAGGAGAGACCACTTGTTAGGCCACAAATCAAAATCAAGCCTCAACAAATTTTAAAACATTGAAATTATTTCAAGTACCTTTTCAGATCACAAAAGATAAAAATTAGAAATCAATAACCAGCAAAATTCAGGAAACCATACAAATACATAGAAATTAAACAACATGCTCATGAACGACCTCAGGGTAAAAGAAAAAATTAAACAGGAAATCAAAAACTTTCATGAAACTAACGAAAATAAAAAACATCATACCAAAACCTAGGGATAGTACAAAGCAATACTAAGAGGGAAGTTTATTAGACTAAATGCTTATATCAACAGAAGAGAAAGACTCCAAACAAACAACCTAACCACACTCAAAGAACTAGAAAAACAAGAACAATCCAACCCCCAAATTAGTAGATGGAAAGAAATAATTAAGCAGAGCAGAACTAAAGAAAAGAGACCAAAAAAATGCAAAAGATCAACAAAACAAAAGTTGTTTTTTAAGAAGATAAAAAACAGAAATCATTAGCTAGATTAAAAAAAGAAAAAACCCAAATAACAAAATCAGGATTGAAAAAGAAGACATTATAACCAATACCACAGAAATACAAAGAATCATTAGACACTATTATGAACAACTTTATACCAACCAAATCAAAACCTGGAAGAAAGTATAAATGTCTCAATACATACAAACTACCAAGAAGACATGGAAAACCTCAATAGTCCAGTGATGAGCAATGAGATTGAAGAAGTAATCGAAAGTTTTCAGATGAAAAAAGCCCAGGATGAAATGATTTCATGGCTAAATTCTACCAAAACTTTAAAGAGGAATTAATACCAATCCTTTCCAAAAAATTCAAAAAAATTGAAACAGGCCATTCTACCAAAATCATTCTATGAGGCCAGCACTGCCCTGATATCAAAATCAGAAAAAGATACAACAAAAAAGAAAACTACAGGGCAATATCCTTGATGAATTTTGATGAAGAAATCCTCAACAAAATATTAGCAAACAAAATACAGCAACACATCAAAAAGGTTATACATCATGATCAAGTGAGATTCATCCCAGGGATGCAAGGATGGTTCAGCATATGCAAATCAATGAATGTGATACACCACATCAACAATATCAAGGACAGAAACCATGTGATTATTTCAACAGAGGCAGAAAAAACATTTGACAAAATTTAACATCCTTCTGATAAAAAGTCTCAGAAAATTAATTATAGAAGGAAAGTATCTCAACACAATGAAAGCCATATATGACAAACTCACTGCCAATACCATCCTGAATGGGGAAAAGCTGAAAGATTTTCCTTTAAAAACAGAAATAAGACAAGGATGCCCATTCTCGCCACTCCTATTTAACATAGTTTTGGAAGTACTCATCAGAGCAATTAGTCAAGAGCCGAAGGGATACCTGTACTCCAATGTTTATTGCAGCACTATTTACAAAAGCCAATAGTTGGAACCAGCCCAAATATCTTTCATCAGATGAGTGTATAAGGAAACTGTGGTATATCAACACAATGGAATTCTACTCTGCTATAAAAAAAATGAAATACTACCATTTGCAACAACATGGATGGTTTTAGAGATAATTATATTAAGTAAAACAAGTCAAGCACAGAAAGAGAAATAGCACATGTTCTCACTTATTTGTGGGAGTTAAAAATAAATAAATAAATAAATAAATAAACAAACAAATAAAGGGTTGGGGGGAAGAAGACACAACAATCACAACAATTCCTTGAACTTGTTAAGATAAGTGAAGAGATATGATGGAGGAGGGGAAAAAAAGAGGGGGGAAAAGAGGAATGGGTAAAGGGTCATGAAAATCAACTACAATGTATATTGAGAAGTTGAAATTAAATTAAAAAATTAAATAAAAATTTTTTAAAATAATTGAAAGGATGAAGTCATACTGTCCCTGTTTGTAGATGACATGATCCTATATATAGAAAAAATAAATGACTGTACCAAAAAATGCCTAGAGCAGATAAAAAAATTCATCAAAGTCACAGGATACAAAATCAACATACAAAAATCAGTAGTGTTTTTTAGTGTTTTTATACTTCAACAATGAACTACCAGAAAAAGAAATCAAGAAAGCAAGCACATTTACAGTAGCTACCAAAAAAAAAAAAAAAAAAAAAAAAAAAAAAAAAAACCAAG